TTAAAGATAACGAATGCGGAACGAATTATTGATAAATTACAGAGATCATGAGAGAAGATCTTTTGCTCGCATTCTCTGATATCAGGCATTGATCGACAAATCGCTTATATGGTGACTCAGGAACTCGAGATTGTGCAAAAGTTTTCGACGCGATGGAGAACGATTCTGGCCTTCTGGTAAGATTCTGGGTTTTAAGAAATTTTCATACTTTTCAACTTATATATTACAATGCTTTTTAGTAGGCTTTTACGGCTTTCTTTATGATATTTGGTTTATAATTTTAGGATATTTGGTTTATGCAATAACTTCCCACATATATTGATGCTGAGCGCAGCTGCGGATATCATCGAAAAGGGAAAATATTCTAATGGAACTGAGAATGCAAAGTGTTTGGTTAGTTGTGTGAAAAAGGCTAATTAAGAGGAGTTTTTGCTCTTTTTATTGCGTTCCATAAAGATGAAAGAAAAAGTTTTTAGTTCGATCGAGGCACACGGCATTGTGATGGAACAAAATCGGTCGGAATGATTCTCCTATTTGACAATGTTCCTGGTTTCATCACGAAACTCATTGTCATATTTTTGGCGCAAGGACTTTCCTACAAGTTGGAAGAAGTTTGAAACTAGCTCAAAAGGTATTTCAGTCTCCGAATGTTTGTTGTGGTTGTCTTGCAAGTGACAGCGCTCTGCATCGTGGCTCTTTCCGCGAATTATACTCTAGCTTTAATCGATGAGTATTTAAAAAGCAATCAATTAATAGAAGAGCTTGCTTATCAGGATTTATCAATACCAATCATTATCAAATATTTATCGTAACTGACTGACAAGTACTGACAAGTATTGAGAAAATATGATAAACCAGAAGCCGATTTCATCAACTTAAGTCCGTGACCGAACAAATGACTGAAGTTAAGTCAGTTTTCACCAAATTCTAGGCATGGACTTCAATTTTCGTTGTCAGTGACTTAACTTTACAATAGAAAACGCTAAATGACCAAATATGGTGACCTAATGCTGACTTAAAGTTTTTTTTTAGTGATTTAAAGTTTCGTGAAACGAGCCTTAAAGCTAAGTCAATAATTTAAAGTTAAGTCGGTGATTTAGTTAATTTAGTGACTCAAGAAGCAGATTTAAGGCTTTGACTTATGAAATTTCGCTAAGTCAGTGTTTTAAATGTGATTGTTCAGTTACTTTGGTGAAACTGGCCCCAAATCTAATCAATAGTGATAGCTTCTGACGAATTTCAAAGGAAAAATATGGATTAGCTTAGAAATAATAATAATAATAGTTTAGGGCGATGGAAAGAAACATATAAAAAGTAGATTTATTTACATGAAGAGCTGGTAAGAACGACAGATATGAAAAACGAACCGAAAACAAGACCGGGCGGTGATATTAACTAAAAACTTAACTTTTTGAATACTTTCAGAATAAACTTTTATCTTATTTAGGTGTCATGACAGCCTCAATATCAAATGGTATTGGAGGAACGACGATTCTCTCATATTCTTCTCATTTCCCTGACTCAACCCCGGTAGCTGTCTCGTCTGGAATGGGCGCCGCCGGGATTGTTGGTAATCAAAAACATTCTTTTCTTTTTTTCCATTGTGCAACAGAAAGTACTCCACGCCTTTAACTGAAATCTATTCTATGATCGTGCCAAAAAGATCATCAAAGGGAAAATTGCAAAAATACTAACGTTTTGGGCCGAATTTTGAGTGCATTTGAATTCGATTGAGACATTTGATACGCGCCACGCCCCTTTTCCCATTAGCAATCCAACCTTGAGCTCAAATTTCTTGAGGTTGGGCTATTCAATTTAAGTATTCTTATCATCATTAGATGCGCCAAGTCTTTCTCTGTCGATTGGTACAAAAACTATTTAAATTGGACAGCCAAACACCGAGATTTTTGAGCTCAAAGTTAGATTGGTAATGGGAAAGGGGCGGGGCGTATATAAAATGTCTCACGATGGCCCCGCCCCTTTTCTCGTCGGCAATCTGACTTTGAGCTCAAAAATCTTGGTGTTGAGCTGTTCAATTTAAATAGTTTTTGTACCAATCAATAGAGAAAGACTTGGCGCATCTAATGATACCAAGAACATTGAAATTGGACAACCCAAAACCAGGAAATTTGAGCTCAAAGTTGGATTGCCAATGGCAAAGGAGGCGTATCAAATGCCCGATAACCTTTGAATTCACAACTTTCCCGAAATCAACAACGAACAATAAATCCTAGAATTTTTTCAGGTTCTTTTTTATACGCTTCACTCACAGAGCCACATCTGGCTAATCTCTCTCCAAAAACAGCAATTCTCTTGATGTTGGTCAGTTTTTAGGCAAAAGACGGTTTCTATTAAATGATTTGTCGTTTGTTTTTGTTTTTATTTATATTTTAGGTTTTTCCCTTCACTCTAGCTACGTTTTATTGGCTGGTTCTGGATCATCCATCAAATTTAATGAAAAAGTGCTTGAAAGGTCCAACTGAGGATTGTCAAGAGTACACAGCAAGACAAGCAATAAAATCTACAAGTCTCATCGAGAAAATTGGCGCCATAAAGGTTTGATTGTTTTAGCTTATCACAATCACATTTTTCTAGCCCTCTCTTCGATTCCTTCTCCCAATGATCGTTGTTTACATGGCCGAATATACAACTAATCAGGGATTTGTGGGCTACTTTTATTTCCCTAACGATCCCTATTGTTTAACAGATTCAATTCATTGTGTTTGACTGTGCAAACGGGTTCGGGCTGGCCAAAATTAGTCAATATCGATGGTTTCAGGTGAAAGCAATAATACAGGGTGACAAAAATGATCTTGAGTTGGTATTTTCGAATTTCTGACACACCATTTGCGCCCAGCATTGAAAGCTCAGCTCTCAAAGAGTACCTTATAGCCTTATAGTTATGACTAGCGAAATATGGAAAAAAAGAAATTAGCTGATACCAAAAAAATAACAACAACTTACTAGGGAAGCACACGGATTGACCACCGAGTTACGACTAGCGACTAGCGACTACGATATAGCGCCTTTTATTGGAAAAAAATTAGCTGATCCCAAATATGCAATCACAAACCACGAAAAGGTTTGTGGAAATCGGCTAAAAATAGCCTCAAAGTTGATGATTTTTGAAAGGTTTTCTCAAATTTCTGGCACACCATTTGTGCCCAGCTTTTATTTTTTGTGCATATTCGGAATCAGCTAATTTTTTTCCAAGAAAATGCGCTATGTCGCTAGTCGTAACTCGGTGGTCAATCCGTGCGCTTCCCTAGTAAGTTGTTGGTATTTTTTGGTACCAGCTAATTTTTTTTCCAATATCTTACTAGTCGTAACTCGATGGTCAATCCGTGGGCTTCCATAGTTAGGAGTATCTTTTGGTACATATAACAATGGCCTAAAATTAGACCGAGAAAAGAATAGAACAGTAAACGTAAAAGAACGAGTTATTTCTTGTCACCATTTACTAGAAACAATCAAATACTGTTTCAACGTTGCACATAAAACATAGAGATAAAAATAACGATTTAAAACATAAAACAGGGACAACGATCTCTGCCTTATGCATAAGGCAAATCGTTGTCTGATTTGTACCAGGATCAATAGTAGTCAATCAATATCTTTGAGACTACCTTACCTTTCGTATTCTTATCGATTCGGATCCATTGGGTTGGTGAATTGAAAATTGCGGGACTTTGAACTAAAATTTATTGAACAAAAAAAAACCATGAATTCATTCGAAATAATTTCCATTATTATTGACGACTTCTGCCCATTTTACAGGCAATTTGCGGATTCCTCTTTCGTGGTAGGATTTTGGTTTGTGTGTGAGACAAGTGTGAGACTCAAAAATGGAGGACTGGAGATGTCAGCTGTCAGCCCAGTTTGAGCACTTTCTTCAAAAGAAACCCATTTTGGTGTCAATAGAAAAGTTGTAGAGAATCAAAAATTAGACTTATAGCCAAATTTCCAAAAAGATACACGTAGTAGTTTCGCTTAAAATGCAAGTTTTGTAAAAATTCGTAAATTTCGCATTTCTTGAAAACCAGTTTTTGAATCGTTCTGAAAATTTGGATATAAGCTTGATTTTTGATTCTCTACAACTTTTCCATTGACACCAAAATGGGTTTCTTTTGAAGAAAGTGCTTAAACCGTGACATATGACAATAGCCGGCAGTTTTCAATTCACCAACCCAATATTTAAAACAAAAAAAATCCCAGTTCATCTATCGAGTGGGGACTTTCGTCACAAAAACTTCCCTTCTTTTCATCGATTTTTCAACAAATTGGCTCTATTTGTTCCCGCTTCTACAGGTTCTCGTTTATCTATCGAATTTGTTACAACTTAGTTTATCTTAGCTTTCAAATGGAGTTCTCTTCTATTTCGAAGCACTTTTTGCTTTTCTTCCGCACATTTCTCTCCCATTTCTGATGGTTTTTATCTCGGGATTAGTTGGCGGAGCTTGTCTATCAAAAACCTACAATCATATTCATAAAACGGTTTTCTTTTTGTGTGAACTTTTCCTCTAGCATATCCCGGTTTTTCAGACTCCCGCCGATTTCAAGCCATTTCTTCTCGGTGTCGCCAGTACAAGCGATACTTTTGGGATTTTCTTAGCGGCTTTCTTATCGATCTGGGTTTGGTGTTAAATCTCACAAAATAAATACGAATTTAGCTTCACAATCTCATCTGATCGCGCTGTTTTGATTATCTACTGTTTAAAATGATCTTTATTTGCAATATTTTCTATATCATATCATTTAGCGATTGGTGCTTTTCGTAAACAAATTTTGCGTTGATTATTCGTCAATAAAATTGTATTTCTAAAGCCAGCTTGCTTAGTTGTTGCAACGTTATTTAATAAGTTCAGTGCTTGATTAGTAGACTCTTTTTGGAAGAATGTAAAACGGTTATTTATGCAAAGAATGTACAGTGAATCACAGATAATACCGGTGAGGCGAATGCTTTGATTTGAGATTTGTTTCCAACACTGGAAAACCATCTATTGTCGGCCGAAGAATGGGAAGCTGTTGAAGCCTTGAGAGCCTGAAATTGTCATTTTAGTACAATTTGAAAGTTTACAATAAGCTATTTTTGTACTCACCTCGTCCACCAAATCCTCCTTGGTTTCCGCCGAAATTTTGTTGTCCGCTTGGTCCGTTGTTGTTACCGAATCCGCTTTGGCCACCTAACAACTTGAATTTTTGAGATCCTCGAAGAAATCATCTTTGACTTTAACCTTAGAATTTTTATTAGAATCTATTAGAATTTATTAGAATTTATTAGAATTAGAACTTTTTATTTTCCCTACCTGGAAAACCGCTTTGCCCACTTGTTCCACCGAATCCTTGGAATCCTCCTAGAAATGTGTTCCTTTCAAGATTATGAATCGAATACAATATTTTATAGAAAGCAATTCAAGTTCAAACCTTGGAATCCACCTTGTCCATTTGGTCCATTTTGTCCATTTTGTCCTTGTTGTTGTCCGCCAAAGCCTTGGAATCCTGAATGGATTTATAAGCAAAACAAGGACATTTGATTCTCAAAAGTCTCAAGATGAAAAGTAAGTTTTATAACAATTTACATCTTGAAGTGCTTTGCCACTGACTTAGTCCTCACCTTGGAAGCCGTTTTGTCCGTTTTGACCGAATTGGAATCCTCCTAAATTGGCGAGTTGAAAGATGAGGATGCAAATTTTTGATAGAACAACATTTGAATTCATTTCCAAAACCTTAATCGTTTGGGTATTCAAACCTTGTCCTTGTCCGAATCCTCCATTTTGTTCTCCTCGTCCTCCCTGTCCTTGTTGACCTTGTTGTCCGAATCCACCGAATCCACCTTGACCGTTCATTCCTAACAAAGCGATTTTTTGAAATGCTACTGATTGATTCAAACTTTAAAATCAAATCTAGATATTTCGTTGCACTTTGAATCTAGATATTTCGTTTTGAAACTTTCCACTACCTTGGAATCCTCCATTTTGGCCGTTTTGCTGTCCAAAGCCTCCACGTCCTTGGTTTCCGCCTGAAAACATTTTAGCTTAGAGATTAAAACTTGAAAGCTTTTTGGTTTCAAATTCTTTCTAGAAAACTTTAAAGTTTCCTTTATTCGAACCTTGGAATCCTCCGCCGTTTTGTTGATTTTGTTGATTTTGTCCATTCGGCCCGCCGAATCCACCTGAACAAACACAAAAAACTCGATGGAATGGAATCATTTCAAAGTTGAAAAAGTAAATGAACTAGATTAGATACAATGTAGTACAAGTTTCAAAAAGCTCTAATCTTTGCTCAGGAGATCCGGGGAACCATGAAAACCAACCTTGTCCGCCCATTTGTCCCTGTCCGTTTGGTCCGCCGAAGCCACCTTGTCCCTGGCCATTCATACCTCCTAAAATATTCATAAAGTTATCAAAGTTTGGTTTTGAATGCAAAACTGGATTTCAAAGCTGAAAATATGAATTTAAACCTTGAAATCCTCCATTTTGTCCACCATTTTGCCCACCGAAACCGCCTCGACCACCTTGGAATCCTCCTGAATTTTGAGGGATGGCTCTAATCTTTTTTTGATGTAAAAATTATGGAAACTTTTATAATAGGTATTTAGTAAATGCTTGATTATTAAGAACCTTGGAATCCTCCATTTTGTCCGTTTCCATTTGGTTGAGGTTGGTTCTGGCCGTTTGGTCCACCGAATCCTCCTGGAAATGTGACTTTTGATTCTCTTTTTGTCTGAATGTGAGTTTATCAAGCTTTCGACTAGATGCTTCGAGTTTTTCGGGATCGATTTTCTCAAAATGCTTTTGACAATGCTTAAAAACCTTGGAATCCTCCATTTTGTCCGTTTCCATTGGGCTGTGGTTGGTTCTGTCCGTTTGGTCCACCGGATACTCCTGGAAAACTTGGAATTTCTTTTAAATTCTTAGCTTAGAAATTCAAAGCTTAATTTAGTGCAAAAGATTGGTGCTTTTTAAAATCAGCATAAGCCGCAATTTTGAAAACAGACCTTGTCCTCCATTTGGTCCATTCTGTCCATTTGGCCCGTTTTGCCCACCGAAACCGCCTGGCCCACCTAAAAGTAAAGATAAAGTGGAGCACTGAACAACACTGTAAGAATGCTGCAGTTCTACGAATTAAAGTTTTAGTTTTATTCCAACGCCAAAAGCAGACCTTGGCCTCCGTTTTGTCCATTTGGTCCAGTCTGTCCGTTTTGTCCTCCTGAACAGCTCAAGTTAGTTTAAGTTGAAATTTCACAGACCTTGTCCACCATTTGGTCCAGTCTGTCCATTTTGTCCGTTTTGGCCATTTGGACCATTTGGCACGTTCTGTCCGTTTGATCCATTGGGTCCACCGAAGCCGCCTGGTCCACCTAAATGACTTACAGATTCGCGTTCAAACAGCTTCGCATCAAATTATGCACTAGAAATTATCCTAGAGTCCTGTTAACAATTCAAGGAACTGAAACGTCAAACGGGTTTGAAAGTTCGAACCTGATCCACCGTTCTGACTGCTGAAACCAGCCGGGCCACAAGGCAAGTTAAAACTTTATGTCTAATGTGGGTAAGAACGATCAACTCCAATGTATACAAAGCACATTCTATATCATTATTCACAATCTGAACCCTAACTGTTTCCATTTCCAAACCTTGTGCTCCAATTTGAACGCTGCTTTGCCCAGAGACGCCGTTTGGTCCAGTTCCTTGGTTCGGGTAGTTGTTGTTACCAAATGGGCTAAAATTTTTCAAATATGGATTCGAAATTCACCAATCATTCAAACTCTAAGAAACTATATCACTTGAATAACTTCTTTTGTAATATTGTAAACTCACAACGCTAAGAAAACACCAAAAAGTGCTGAAGCGAGGAGGATCGTCTTCATCGTAAAACAAATTCAGACTAAATGTGCCCAACTTTCGAATAACTTTTCTCTTTATATATCCAAAGAATTGCTGTCGATGTGGATGAGTCGATGATTCTCTCAAAAAAAAACGATTTGAATATTTGCCTTTTCATTTTTTCGAACTAGCAAGGTCCAGCTGCCCACACATTGGCTCTGGGGGAATTCTTGGGTGATTCATTTGGTAGTATTTGTTTTATAGTCCATTTTATGTATTCAGAATGACCTCTTTGAATCGTGTTACTTCGCGGAAATGTTTTAGGAAGTTGGCAGCAATGATTTTTGAGTTTAAAATAAGAAGTGTTCGAAGATTTTTGGAAGTTTAAAAGCGGTTTAATGTTGGGTCTAGACCAATTTTGCTGAAAATATCTTTACTTAAGAAGGTTAAGAAGTGAATCAAAGATTCAATCGGCAAAAAAAAGTCTTCTAAAGCCAAAAAGAAAAACAAAAAACCTTCTAAAGCTAAAAACTCTTTGTTTATCGCCTGATTTGAGTTTGAGTTTGATTCTTTACCATTAGTTTGGTTACAGTTACAATTAGTTCTTTACAATTACAATTACAATTCGGTATTTGGTAGTTGGTACAGTGTGAGAGGAAAGGGGAAAGCGAAAGCCGGGTTTCAAAAAACTTTCAAAGAATAAAGCTCTACCATTTCTTTGCCTAAAGAGGTAACACTCTGTTAAAAACAAGTTACTGGATCACTAACGTTTTCGACTGAATAGGAGTAGCTTGAACTAAATACCACAATTCATAGTCACCTGGAGGTGCTTTCTCGATTGATTTCATTTCTTAAAATTATCGGATTTAGTCGATAAGCAGCTTTAGATTGAGAAGTTGTCTTCAGATTTTTGTAAGCTTTTTAGGACATCGTTCTTTTGCATTTTATGCTAGATAAAACAATATCACGAGCCAAAATTTGTTGAATAAATACCGGAAACAAAAGAAAAAAAACATGAAATTCATGGAAAACAAGACGATCAAGAGGTTTACTGTGATCCAAGCACTCCTTGGAAGCCTGGAAATTGTCTGATCAGCTCGTGAAATTGTCAAAATCATGAAATTTGGGTTAAATTTACCGAAAAATCTAAGATTTTTAGAAGAAATAACATTTCTTAACTCGCCTTGTCCACCAAATTGCCCTTGATTGTTGCCAAAGTTCTGACCGTTTTGGCCATTTTGACCATTTTGTCCGTTTGAAAGTCCACCCTGTCCTCGTCCATTCAATCCACCTGAAATATCAATTCTTTTAAAAACCAAATAGCTTTTTCGATGGTAATCTTGTATTTTCTTATCTAAATTATCTTAAAATCCGAATTTCTTGTCTAAACCTTGGAATCCATTTTGTCCATTCTGTCCATTTTGTTCATTCTGTCCATTCTGTCCTCCTTGTCCATTCAATGCACCTACAAATTTTATTGAGCTTTTAGCTTTATAAAACAAAATAAATAGCTAATAAGATATTCAGTTAGTCCGTTTATTTGTCATTTTAATAAAAAACAAACCCTGGAATCCGTTCTGTTCATTTTTTCCATTTTGGTTAGAGAATCCTCCTTGTCCTTGTCCGTTCAATCCACCTAAAATTCATTAATTTGTAATTAATGTCATAAATAGATAATAAGGTATTCAGTTAAACTATTTCCTTCTAATATTTACAAAGACAAACCTTTGGATCCGTTCTGTCCTCCATTCTGTCCATTCTGTCCATTCTGCCCATTCTGCCCATTTTGTCCACCAAACCCTTGTCCGCTGAAGCCTCCTAAACAATTTTTGATTGAATGTGTTTGTTTTTAAAAGATTGTAGCCTGTTTTTCGCTTTAATCTTATTGAATTGTTAATAACAAACCCTGGAAACCGCCGTTTTGTCCTCCATTTTGTCCATTTTGTCCATTTTGTTGCCCATTTTGTTGCCCATTTTGTTGCCCGCCTTGTCCCTGTGATCCACCTGACAATAAAATGATGATTGTAAACTTTTCGAAAATTTCGAAAAATACGGGTTCTCCTAGTGCTGAGAATTGATTCCCAGCATCGTTCTGTCGTTTTCAGATGAGATTTGTCAGATTTCGAGTAGTTGGTTTTGGGATTTCGGTAAATTTCGAACCTTGGGGATACGTTCTCAGCTCACAAAAGTGAGACAACGAAGAAGAAATCCAAGGAGCTTCAGATCGATTTAATTCGTATGGATTTCGGAGAATAATCAATCAAAGCACCATTACGATTTATCATTTGAAAAATTCGGGCACTCATACTTCCAGTGAGATTTTACAGGACTAGCGGGTCGAACTTGACAATCATCCAAGATTTCATGAGTTGACTCTTGTGAATGGACGCATTATCCTGTTGAACATTTGTCACGGTTGGATTTTGAACAAGAAAAGGCACAGAAAATTGATGTGATTTTGGCTGACACGAACTTCAAATTGACCACACCCTGGAAAGAAAAACCGGGCCAAACCATAACGTTACCTCCTTTGTGCAAAAATTGATTCCAATTCTTTAGATCGATCCACAAAGATGCAAATAGCTTGCGGCATTCGGGATTAAACTATGAAAAATGAGATGATGTCCAAACTCGTTTCACATCTTTAGTCTTTGTGCATCCCCTAGCGGAGACGCGTTCCAAAATTTTTTCGAGACACTGTTGGAAGGTCTCGGGGTTAATGCTAACCTCAAACTTGGGTAATTAAACCGGAGATTGGGGCCCCTGTCGCGCTATCTGGACGAGCCGTGTGCCAGATCCCGCTTTTCGGTACGAAACACGCGAAAGGTACACACAGTCGTGTCGTCTGGTGTCTCTGCGAGGGTTGATGCTCTCTCGTGATCGCCGGCGGCCGCCTATTTGAGTCTTCTCTCACAACCTCACCTTCGCTTACGACCATACCACTTACGACCATACCTTCGCTTACGACCAACCATATTTAGAGAGAAGAGGAACCAGATTTAGAGCGAAAAGGAACCCACTTTGTAGAGAAAAGGAACCAAATTTGTACAGAAAAGCAACCAAATTTAAAGAGATTTGGTCAATTTCACGAATTTCACGAGTCTGTTGATGGATCAGATGATGAACTAATTCAATGTATTTTCATCAAGTTCAAGCGTCAAGTTTTTTCATTACATTTTTCATTTTTTCATTTATCCATTATAGTTTTAATATACATGTAATGCCGAAAAATCGCAAAAAAAAACCAATCGATTGAACGAAAATAGGTCAATCATGGCTTCAGCGGTTCAGCGGTTTGGCTGCAGCGATTATTCGCTGCAGAAGTTTCGAATGGGTTAATATGTTCGAAAAAGTTTCCTTCCTATTGCCAAATATCAAAGTTTTCACTGGATTCTATCAAGACAACAAGAAAATTCCACGAATTTCCTTTCAAACCAATCGATTTGAGGTTTTCTCGAAATCGGAAAGTTTTCTTATTGATCTGTGCAATTTTGTTACTTAATACTTGCTATTTAATATTCAATTTTAGAGATAAGAGCTACTGGAGAGGATTTCTGGAGATTGTCAAAGAGATCTTCAGTCAAGGAGATCTTCAGCCAAGGAGATCTTCAGTCAAGGAGATCTTCAGTCAAGGAGATCTTCAGTCAAGGAGATCTTCAGTCAAGGAGATCTTCAGTCAAGGAGATCTTCAGTCAAGGAGATCTTCAGTCAAGGAGATCTTCAGTCAAGGAGATCTTCAGTCAAGGAGATCTTCAGTCAAGGAGATCTTCATGAAGTTGATGTCCTCGGAGTTGCTCAAGAAAAGGCAAAAACTATGCTCGACTAAAGATGGGTCAATGTCAATCGGTAGATGAAGAAGCTGCATCTATTTCGGTAGACGAAAAAGCTGCACGGCTATCAAATGTGAGTTGTTTGATTTTGGAAAAGAAGCAAAACGATTTCTCATTCCGAATTTCCATTCTACCATTAGCATTAGCATTCCTAAATACACGCTTCAAAAGAAATCCAATTTAAGCTTAAAAATTGATTTGTTTAAAGCTAAATTTTCATTTGAATCATCAAAAATCTTTTCGCTTTTAACATTTCACGAGACAAAATATCATTCCCATTCAGCGATCAACTAAAGAAACGTCAATTGGCAGCGAATTATTTTGAAATTATAAGAGAATCTTTAGCAAATCTTTTCATTAAAAGGATAAAGTCGAATTTAGAATCTCTAAATTCGAAATTCGAAATTCTATAGAATCTCGGAAGTTGGTGAGTAAAAGAAAGCATTCAAAATCTAGTTTCAAATTACTATTTTTCAGTTTTTGTTTGCTTCTGAATGTATCTTCATTTATTCGCCGCCCTTTTAACAGTTGCTGTCAATGGATTCAGGTTTTATTTTAAATATTTTTACTTACAGAATTGATTGATTGATTGATTCACTTTCAGAAATAAAACTGTCTAGTACAGAAACTTTCAGGTATTCATGATTAATAGAAAACTTTATATTCTAAAAACATAAGTCATTCATAAATTCATTTAGTGAAAATTATCTAATTCACAAGGGAAAAGTGGGCAAGCTGGCAAAATGCTATATATGATTCGACGCAGAATTTCACGCTGATTCCGAATATGGTTTCAGTTTTTGCTATGCATCACCCTATCAAAAGTTATACGAGTTTAAAGTTTTACAAGGCAACTCAAGATCAAATTATGATAAGTTAGTTCCCCAAGAGCTGTTCAAAGGCGTCGGTGGCTGAGTGGTAGTGGGTTGGCATCTCAAGCGAGCATTGTCTGGTTTGACTCTCTCTTAATCTTTCTTTTTTTTTCTTTTTTTCTTAGACCAACTTGGGTACTCTTTGTACTACCTTGATGCTATTTTTAATGTTTATTATATGTAAAAATTTCTTGTTATTATATGTAAAAGGTTGATTATAGTTTTTTGAGAAACGTAGATAGAATAAGACTACCTTTGAAACGAAGAACACCCAAGTTCGTCAAAGAAAAGATGAAAGGGGACTCGAACCAGAGAATGCTCGCTTTCAATGCTAACCCACTACCACTTGGCCACCGACGCTTTTGGAGAGCTTTTGGGAAACTAACTTATCATGATTTGACTTCGAAATTTGAGCTTGAGTTCGGAAATGTCTTCTAAAACTTTAAACTCATATAACTTTTGATAGGGTAACGCATAGCAAAAATTGGAATCATCTTCGGAATTAGCGTGAAATTCTGCGTCGAATCGTATATAGCATTTGGCCACTTGCTTTGTCAGAAGTTTTCAAATTCAGTTCAAATGACTTTGCTGAGAAATCCCTTGAGGAACAATGGAGAGAATATAAAGAGAAATTTGGTTTGATTGATTAAATGATTCAAATAAAGATGTGTTTAGGAAAATCATATGAAAAAGCCGAAGATTTGAGAAGAATGAGAGTTTTCGAGAGGAAAATGAAGAGTATCAACGAGCACAACGAGCAACACCAGAGAGGAAACTCTTCTTTCCAAATTGGCTTCAATCAATTCTCCGATTTGGTCAGTGTTTTTGGATGATTTGAAATTTGAAATTCGAATAAGAATCAATACTTAAAAGATTAAAAGGTTAAAAGATTAAAAAGGAAGATTTGGATGCGTTTTCAGTTTCCATCAGAGATCGCAATGCTCACCGCGATGACGATTCCCCCTGATGGTCCACCAACTTGGGAGCTTCCAATCGATGTCAAGGTTTGTTCCAAGGATTGCTATCATTATAAATTATCAATAAACTATGTTAGAGTCTTCTAATTATCACATTTATTCAAATTTTAGGATATGAAAATCCCAGATCACGTCGATTGGAGAGATCACGGCATGGTGACTCCAGTAAAATCTCAAGGATTTTGTGGATCTTGCTGGGCTTTCTCGTGGATTTTATATAGATTTACAAAATGTTATTCACATTACTAATCTAGAACTTAGCCTTTTAACGTACGTCAACTTTTTTGTTTTTGTTTTAGAGCAGTTGGAGCTCTCGAGGGACAACATGCGATCAAATCTGGAAAGCTTGTTACGCTCTCTGAACAAAATTTGGTAAAAATTAGAGGAATTGAAGAAATAAGATAAAAAAAATATCATTTGAAATGTTATTTGGTGTCTTTGCCATCTTTGACTTGCAGATTGACTGCTCTTTTCTCTATGGTAATCGGGGGTGCCGAGGAGGTTATGTAGGATGGGCCTACAATTACATCACGGCAAATGGGGGAATCGATACGGCCGAGAGTTATCCATACAAAGCTAGGGTTTGTTTTTTTTTTTATTTTCTTTGAGATCATTGATCACCATCTTTTTTTTGACTGAAAAACTCAAAAAAATCTATATAAATCTAGGTTCAACCATGTCATTTCAATCGGAGTTCGATTGGCGCTCATGTTTATGGATGGGTTCCATTGAGAATGGGTGATGAACAAGAGCTCAAAGTAGGTAAATTTTGAAAGAAAATTGATCATCAGTCATTTATGAATGTTTTCCACAAAAAGAATAGAATTTAAATTATTGATTATCTTTCCCAGAAAGCCGTTGCCACCATTGGCCCAGTCGCTGTCGGAATTCACGCCTCACAAAGAAGTTTTGCGGCCTATCAGAAAGGTGAGTCTTCTATTTTTTTTCGAGAAAATCAAGCCAATATGCAAAGAAAGAATGTAAAATTGTAAAATTTCAGGTGTCTACTTTGAGGAGAGATGTAAATCGAATTTTTTCTCTATCAATCATGGAGTCGTTGTCGTTGGATATGGAACCGATCCCGTGCAAGGGGATTATTGGTTGATAAAGAACAGGTTGACAAGAAGAAATCAAAGAAAAGAATAGCTGTATTCTTTCAAAATTTGCTTTTCAATTTGGTTTTTAAACTAGCAGCCCTGCAGCTAAAAGATTTTCGGAGGAAAAAGCAAAAGAATTGGTGGTGTAGTGATTATTGTTGGTTTAGATATAATCTTTATTACAGCGATAATAGTTGGTTCAGTGGTTTGAGATTGGGAGACTAGAGACACTCCACGGCACACGTCGGCAGCTCGTTCACATTGCTTTTATACGGAACTCAGGCGTTGTTCTCGTCTTGCACCTAATGGAGTTGAACGGATAGCGACGCATATTAAATCTCGCACAATAGGCGTTTGTCCACATAGGTGTCTAGCCTAGTCCATTTCCATACGTGGCGATCTCGATCACGAGATCGTCACGACAGGTGGTGAGAGGAGTCGAACCCGCGACCTCTCTCTTTCGTTTGAGAGACGTGCGCGTTAGCCACTCGACCATCTTTTAGTAGATGGCGCAGTGCCGCGCGCAATTGTCTCTATCCATGCTTATAATAGATGGCACAATCCAATCGCAATCAGCGCAATTGTCTCTATCCCACTCCTGTAGATTCAACTCCTGCCCGCGTCGGTACTTTTGGCTTTTTAAAGTACAAAGTTTGTACAAAGTTCAAGAAATTACTTATCTTTAAACAATAAGGAATAGTAAAAATGCAATAAATAGATTTAAATCAAGAAATCTATTTTGCTGAACTGTAACTTTGAAATAATTCCAGTTATGGTACGCGATGGGGAGAGAATGGATACATGAGAATGGCTAGGAATCGAGAGAATCATTGTGGAATCTCCACTCGAGCCATCATTCCAGTTGTATAAACTGTTCAAGCAATGCAATTCAATATCTGAAAACTTTATTTCTTGTTTTATCTTTTAAGTCTAGTTTTGCATCTTTAATTCACTTCTTCATCAATCTCTCAACTTTTTGAAATTTGAAATATTCTTCTCAAATTTTCTTCTGAACAAAATAGCTAATTTTATTGAGTTTTTTTCTTGTGTAAACAAAGAAAATTTAACAATTTATCAGTAAATTTCATTGAAGGAACTTACTGTATTTTTTGTCTTTAAATAAAATCATTCAATCATCAGAAGTCTCTTCACTGTTTTCCTTTAGTGGCTACTTTTTAAGCTGTATGCGCCTTCAGCTTTTCGAAAATCCCTTTTCATGATTACCGTATTTTCTCTAATAGTAGTGTCGATCAGATCAAAATCTGTCGAATAGCTCGCAAACGCGATATTTCTGGCATCAAAGCTTTTGCTTTTGATAAAAAAAAACCCGACTCGGAACCTGTTACATTTTAAAGAAATGCTGCTAAAGAAATGCTGCTAGAAATTACTCGGAAACCCGAGGAATCTGACAAACAAGTTGGAGGTCAAATTAGAGATCAGTCTCTATATAAGGTTTCTTTCACCATCTCGAAGTGCGGGCTTGTGGTGTAGTGGATAAGGAGCATCAAGGGTGGACTCTTTAGCAGTGGAAAGATTGCTTGTTCACTGATGAAAGCAAGTTTCCCCTACTTGGTTCTGATGGAATTCAGTATATTCGACGTCCAGTTAACCAAAGATACAATAAAAACTACATTCTCCCTACAGTCAAACATGGCGGCGGAAACGTTCTCGTATGGGGTGGCTTCTCTTCTTATGGAACTCTACCACTCAAACGAATCACTGGGATTATGGATCAACGAGTTTACTTGGTCTTGTTTCCGAAAGAACCTATCAAGCTGTTGCTTGGGTTCGATCCCTTCCTTTTGTTTTCATTTTATTTTGATGCTTAACCGCTCGAATTCGCTCTATTTTAACGTTACAATAAGCATTATAGCTTCTTTCATTTCATTCATTCATTCTTTAGAGCTGGCTGCCACGTGTGTTCACACTGGATAAAATGTGATTTTGTTTGTTATCAATTAAAAGAAGGGGTAGACGTGAAATGAGATCGCCAGGGGGATTCTCTTTTTCTTTGTGTGTGGCAGATTTTGCTCTCCATTCATTTCATTAAGCCGCTAAAGCTATTCAGCTGTTTACCCCGGTTGTGTTAAATGATCCGATTCCTGGTATTTATTCACGCGTTAGTAGGATTCCTGCAATTCGCTTTTGATCTGAGAATGTACATAGTAAAAAGGGCTGAACTAGAGTTTTGCGAAGACGATGAGAAACGGAGAATGAGTGTCGATTCGCGGGAAATCTCATCGATCCATCCGTTCCTTGAGGGATCTTTGGCGAAAATGGGTACTTCTAAAGGGGAAATTTGTATTTAAAATATCAATATTCTTTCTCATTAGAGCCAGCATAAAAGATATTCGATTAATGGAAAGCAAAAAAGCTTTTAGATTTTGCAAACTTTTCTTTAAAATATTCAATCAACAAGGCTGCTTATTAATTTTAGCTCATTCATACTGTAGTGAGGCAGTAGATTGAAAATTGACAGTATTTTTTTTATCCAGTGTGAACCCAGGTTTAGATATCCGTTCCCAAAATTTGAAGTATCATTTTTCCGCAATTCAAGATTCTTTCGGTAAAGAAGTATTTGGGAAATCATGTCCAACAATTCATTAAACGAATTTTAGCTAGGTAGCTTTTTCAGGTAGCTTTTTCACTGGATGCTTTAGTGTTTTGATAATTCCATCAGCCATTTCAGATCACACAGTGGTTACCTTAATTCACGTCGTGTTTGTCGTGTGTCTGGTGATTGCCGTTGCTGTCCTTTGTCAGTGTCTTTCTAGACGGTGTCGACATCACAGGAAACAGGTTCCGAATTATTAAACAAGGCCAGGCTAAAAGCTTTGTTCAGATCTAGCAAGCCTAAGTGCTTTATATAGGCCAGGCAATAAAATGAACCTGCTTACAATGCTTACAATGACACGGTGGCCGCAAACTATCGCCTCGCAGTTTTTGGGCTATATCTTAACCGTAGCTTCGCGAATCGGTTTAACTTCTTTTTAATATCAAACTTGCGATAATTTTCTACCGAGAATTTCTTTATACAAATTGTAAGATGCTTCTGAGAATTTTATTAAAGGCTTGGAAGATGCGCCCAAAATAGCCCTTGGCAAGCAACATTATTCAAGCTCTTTCTAGTTCATTTTCAAACTGAAAGCGGTTTTCTCGCTTTTTTTGATCAATTTAAGCTTTAAGAGTAACATTTCGATAATTCTTTAAGTTAACTTTGAGATTAACTGATGAGATTTGCCAGTTTCAAGAAAAATTCATCTATAAGAAGCTTTTTTTTTGCATCCAGAGCTCATAAAAACACCACATGGTTAAAGATTTTTTTTTGAAAAACATGGGTTTTGAGCTTTTTAACCAGAAAAGAGTCAAATAAAGCATGTGAGAGCCCTTAAAATCTGTTCATGAAAAGCTGCAGATGCAGATGAAAAGCGTGCCAAGGTTTGTTTTTGGCGCATCTTCCAAGCCTTTAATAAAAATCTCAAAAACTCGGAACATAATCCGAACCTAATTGGAACTGTGCAAAAAAAATAACGATGAATAGTTCAATAAAGTTAAATTTCATTCCTTTTAAAGACCGGATCAAAGTTTCAAATTCAAATCCAAACCTTTCTACAAGTTATACTATCCAACTATCTTAATCGGAAGGTCGAGGGTTCGAACCCCACATGCGACATGGTCACCCCCTTCGGATTTCCTTTCCCTTCGGGTTGAGAGGTTTTCTGGAGGGCAGTCTGGTGGTTGTGGCCCCAGTTCTTTAAAGTGACAAGCCACTCCTTCATCGTCATCTTCCCTTCACCACCAAAAAAGCTATTTAGTTCCCCATTGAGCTTAGGGTTAGGGAACCGTCTGTCATGACGTGGGTTAAGTTAAGATATAGCCTAGTATTGTGTGTGTCGTTGTATTGTGATTGATATATTTCGTGTATGCGATAAATTCACCACTGGTAGCCCCAGTCGGTATTTTTTATACGATTTGTTAGAGGATGAAAAATGTATAAAAGATTGAATTGAACAATTGAACAATTGAATTCAATTGAACCCTATGGATAAGTTAGTACAGGTTTTTGTGAAGCTTTATAGAAAAGTTTAGGGGAAAAAGTTGTCTTTTGCGTTTTTTTTCATATGGATTTTGTGTCATTGAGAAGCTTGTGGAAAAAAAAAATCGTTAATTCAGACTTTTTCAATTTGATACTTAAAGATTAAGCTATAATTAGATGGTTTAAAGATTTGGATCATGTTTAGACTTCATTAGACAGAAGAGAAAAAGCAAAAATAACCGATGACAATTAAAAAATCAAAAGCCAAAAATAAATCGACTAAAAAAAGGAACACCAACGCCGAGCATTAATGCAAATTTTGGCATAAACAATTTGCGTAAAAATTTATCCAAAAAGAATCAATTCTTATCTAAACAATCTCTTTCACAAGTTTCTTTTGACCTCCAACGATTCTCATTCCCTTGACATCCTCCATAGGTGAACTCTATGCACTTTCGGGTTCCTTTATCGAAGTACCAGCTGGGAAAAGCAGCTCTAAAAAAACTCTCGTAACTCTAATCATGAGTTTTTTTAGTTTAAAAACTTACTTGCATGGTCCAACAATTGGTCCATCTAGTTGACATGCTTCTTTTGGCTTTGGCTGAAAGTTGTTTTTCGAAATTTTTACAAAGCTCTCTTAAACCTTAGACTTAAACTCTACAAAGCTCTCTTAAGCCTTTTCTTTTTCTTATTTCAAATAAAGTATACAGTTGACTCTCTCTATAACAGAATGGAAGGGACGAAAAATTTTTTCATGATATAGAGCTTTCCGTTATATAGAGTGCCGTTTTACAGTACTGGGCAATGAAATATCATATTTGAAAAAAGATCGTCACTTTCGCGCGTCTGTAACTCCTTTGTCTTTGGGTTTAAACTATTAGTGTTATACATTTTCTGAAAGCTCTTTTCAAGGGCTACACAATGGTAATATTAATATTTAGAAATACGGTAAAGACAAGGGAGTTACAGACGCGGGAAAGTGACGATCTTTTTTCAAATATGATATTTCATTGTCCAGTAGTGTATATAGCTTAGAGTCGGCCGTGACCAAAATTCCATTCTGTTATATAGAGTTTTCCGCTATATAGAGTTCCGTGACAGAGAGAGTCGACTGTATTTATAATTCAATTGATTATATAGAGTTTTCCGTTACCGTATTTTCTCTAATAGTAGTGCACCCTGAGCGTCGCCTAAATTGCTCGAAATCTCGAGAACCGCTTATCAGAACCTATCGATGTGGGGTCGGAAAATGTAGCTGACGACGAGATCTAGTGGGGGATTAGAGTGTTGAGCTTCTGCAAAAGCTTGGAAACCGTAAAACCGTCATCAACTCGGCTCGCCGGGGTGCACTACTATTAGTGAAAATACGATATATAGAGTTTTGTTATAGAGAGAGTCAACTGTAGTCTGAATAATCAAATTGTTGTTGGTTGAGAAATAAATAACCATTTCAGTAGTACTGTGGCAATCGACGCTATCAACAATCCATTTCTCATCACGAGTCTCCCATTGAGTATTCTCATTACACACGAGGACTAAAGATGGATCAGCTTGACCCACGGTGCCACTAGGCGATTTGTAGATCTAAATAAATAGTTTCTGTCGTCTTGAAGCACATTTTATTGATTCTTGAGTGATTTATGTATAATTGTTATCAATTCCCTAATAAGTCAAGCTTTTTTATTGATTTAGGTTAACTATCATATTGGAAATGTAATACTAAACAAATCTGAGGAAAGTGAGTTTATGGGAGTGGGACAAATGCGACCTTTTTTTGCGCACCCGGACATTTGCGCACCTTTTTTTCCGCACCTTGCCCATTAGCGCACCTTTTTTCGCGTTTTAAACAAGCTCTAAAAAGCTAATATTAACCAATTTCTATTCCAAAAGTTGTTTTTCTAGGCAATTTTAGGGCGTAGAATCGAAATTTTGACATATCAGAGCTTGTGGAAACAAACGGACGGAGTTATACAAAGAGAAAAATCGACAATTTTCTGTAATTTGATCTAGCCGTTTTGTCTTTCAAATTGGTTCCACGCGTTCTGTTATGTCAAAGTTTGAATTCGACACCCTCAAATTACCTAGAAAAACAACTTTTGGAATAGAAATTGGTTAATACTAGCTTTTTAGAGCTTTTTTAAAACGCGAAAAAAGGTGCGCTAATGGGCAAGGTGCGGAAAAAAAGGTGCGCAAAAGAAAGGTCGCATTTGTCCCCCTCCCGAGTTTATTTATTTTCATTTAAATCTCACCACATAATTTGGTTGATTGCAAGTGAGCAAACGAATCAAACAACCAGCGGAACTGTTTCTAAAGGGATCCATTTATTTGTTTTGCTTTGTTTTTCACTCACTCACCCTGTTTTATCTTTATGGAACCCTTCCACACCCGGTGGATCACTCTTCTTGCATTCTGAGCATCCAGCTGAAATTAACTTTTAATTTTTGATGGGATTTCAAATTTTTTCAGTTTATAAAGCATATACAATAGTATAAAAGCTAAATTTTTTTAATAAAATCAAACAGAAAAGAAAATTGTTGTAATTGTCGTTATTTAACTGTTATCTCACTGTTATCTGTTATCTTTTAACTGTTATCTGTTATCTGGTAAATTAGATAAGTTAAGCTAGAACAGGTTTTTGAGAGCTTCGATACTTTTAATTCAAACTTCAAAACTTTTTAATAAAGACAAACCTTTCACACTTGAAATACTCAATAAAATGAAAGCTGAGAGGTAAATAAATCTTTCCATTTTGAGCAATATTTGATAGTGGAACACCTTTTGACTTCAAAACATTGTTTATATCAATCTTTCAAATGACCTTGAGAAAAGTTAAACAAAAAAATTTCATAAAAAGCCTATTTGGCAGATGAAAAGAGCAGGAAATATTTTCAGTCCTGGTGAGTCACTGGAAAATAATAAGAAAACTTTTGAAATTCCTAAGTACTTACCGCATTTATTCTAATAGAAGCACCGGTTACGAATCTTCTATTAGAATAACTACGGTATTTTTGGCAAACTTTTTGGGTTGGTGGATATGACTTGGCACATTTTTTCAAATTAAATCCCACAGATGTATTAGGTGTGTGAAAAAGTAATCCACGTTTTTTATATTTTTATTTTGTTTAAATAAATATATCTAAACAATTTTTAATTTTTTGTGAACGATATACAGTCATGGACAAAAGTCTTTTAACATTGGTTTTTAGAAGTTTGTTCTTTGCATATCTTGGTCCAGATCCGAGCAATTTGCAAACGGTTAAAAGATTTAAAGAGCTTATTATCTCTAATTTTAACATTACAAAAAGATGGATTTAACAATTTATCAGGTGTCATCAACTTTTCAATAAAACTTAATTAATAATTTTTAATTTAATAAATGATCGATCCGCCACCATATTTTACACCAACATTTAACTGTAGGACGCAAGTATTTAATGTGTAAAATATGGTGGCGGATCGATCATGCTATGGGGTAGGAACCTTTGTTTTTTGTGCCTACTCATTTTCTGATTTCTAGGAGCAATGTCCAGAAATTCACTGGGTCCACTCGTCCTTCTAAACTTAACGCTGAATGCTCAACGCTACAAGACGATTCTGGAGAATGATCTTCTACCGTTTTCGACCGCAAATATGAGCCAAGGTTGGTTGTTGTACCAGGACAATGCCCCGTGCCACAAGTCACTTGCGTCCTACAGTTAAATGTTGGTGTAAAATATGGTGGCGGATCGATCATTTATTAAATTAAAAATTATTAATTAAGTTTTATTGAAAAGTTGATGACACCTGATAAATTGTTAAATCCATCTTTTTGTAATGTTAAAATTAGAGATAATAAGCTCTTTAAATCTTTTAACCGTTTGCAAATTGCTCGGATCTGGACCAAGATATGCAAAGAACAAACTTCTAAAAATCAATGTTAAAAGACTTTTGTCCATGCCTGTATATCTCGTTTAAAAGCTTATTTTTTTCCTCTTTCAAATGATATATTTATTTTGTTAAAAGGACGACAATAAACTACTTTCATTTTCGTTTGAAAATGGTATACACAAGTATCGTTATTTGGTCAAATTTGCTTTATGAGTTCAAGAATGGGTTGAAAGCTGCGGAGGCTGCACGTCGAATTCGGAATGCGTATGGCGAAGACGCCGTTACTGATGATACCGCTAGGTTTTGGTTCCGACGATTCAAAGGTGGTAATGAAAGCCTAGAAGATGAACCAGGTGGCGGTCGCCCTGAGACCTGTTCTGATGACCAAATAAGACGCTGTCTTCTCGAAAACCCTCCTTCAACCTCTTCAGAAATAGGCCTTACATTAAATTGTGATGGGTCAACCGTAAGGAAACGCTTGAATGCCATGAATTTTATCAAAAAGTTGGACAAATGGATACCGCATGAATTGAGCGTTAAACGTTAAAAACGTGGATTACTTTTTCACACACCTAATAAAAAAACATGAGGGAGAGGGTTTTGTTTTGAAAATAGGTTAGTGAACATTCACTCTTGAGGAAACAATAAACTTTCACTTTTCATATATTTGGTTTTTGAAATTTTACTTTATTTTGTTCTAACTATTGAAAATCCATCACCTGAAGATCTGCGACACATTATGCTGTACAAATTTCTACAAGGACACAAAAGCCTCTAGAGTTCAGCTATTGTCGATTGGTACAAAAACTATTTAAATTGAACAGCTCAACACCAAGATCTTGGGTTGATGGGTATGAATCGGCACGTTTTTTGAAATGAAATGCTTAATGAAATTTTTCTTCAGTTAACATCATTCAAATCATGCGAGATATTTACCATTATTTTGTATTCTTTGTGCCCGTTTTAATGATAGAAATCGAATGCCTTTCTCGTAGGAAATCTTCGGTTTTGACGCAAAACGATCTATCATCATTTTTAATTACGAAACCACAAGTTCAATGTGAAACAAAGTCGCAAGGCCGAAATAACAACAAAAGAAGATATTCGAAGCAAAATTTTAACGGCTCCCACGCACAAAAATCTGTGAATCTTGGTAGTTTGAAGCAATTGGCTCGCCGACAAGTAAAAATCCATGGCTCAAAGAATTGGCCTGCTCCGATAAATACTTCGGAATTCCGTAAACTTTTTGATCTTGATACAGGGTGTCCGAAAAAAAAAGTAGCTTTGTGTCAAATTTCTAAAAGACTTTAAGTGGCTCAAAGTGGTAGGTATAGGCTCAGGGCTCACAAAAACACACTCAAGGTTCACAAATTTGTACAATGTGCGAAGAAATCTTTGCGACAATCGATTCATTGTAGCGCACCCGGCCTTTGCAGTCTGCTATTTTGCACCTAAAGTAGTCTATATTAAGAATGCAACTTGCTAAGAAGTAGCATAACATAATCAAACCTTACCTATAAGATACTTTTCAGCTCTTTAGTAGTTAATCCTTCCTATACTCGAATATTTCATCGTCATAAATCAATCCCTTCGCTCGTCGTGAAATTGCGATCATCTAAATATAAAAAATAATTCTTTGTAACAAAATAAATAACGAACAAAATGTTACTTTAATATTTAACTCCAGATGTTGAATTCGAAGCAGCTACGATAAGTAGTCGCGTCGAGAAGAGCTACTTGATGCGGGTACGCATTTATGTCAACACCTGAAGTTAAAAAATACAATATGCAGATAAAAACAATAAAAACAATATGCAGATACAATAAAAACAGATAAAAACAGATAAAAAACAAAGAATAAAACACTACCTCATTTTGATGTTGCCGTCGTGTTGTTGCTTCTTGCGCAATTCACGAGCCTAAATAAAGAAATATGTTAACTATAAGCAAATTGTAGACGAAAATGGCAAAAAACGGCTTAAAAAAACATGCTATTGGGGAAAGATATCATAAAACTAGCAAATTTACACATTTTCATAAAAAAAACCTTAAATACGAACTAATCTAACAAAGTTTTCCGCGCATTTTGTGCCATTTTGTGCCAAAAAAAACACTCAAGGTTCACAAATTTGTACAATGTGCGAAGAAATCTTTGCGACAATCGATTCATTGTAGCGCACCCGGTCTTTGCAGTCTGCTCTTTTGCACCTAAAGTAGTCTACATTAAGAATGTAACTTGTGCCCACTGCCGTGCCCTAAGTCAAATGAGTGAAAAAGTGTAAAAAATAGAAGCAAAACCTCAAAAAAACATGCAAAATCAGCGTGGAAAGCAAAAATATTAAAAGCTGGTCGGGCTGAAATGAACGTTTTTTGTTTATTTTTGACGCGGCGCTCAAATGATCGTTTTTTGGTCATTTTTGGCACGGCGCTATGAGAAATGAGCGCGCACTGAATCATCGGCCCTCGAATGATCGGCGTTCAATTTTTGGCGCGTGTGAGTACGTGTGAGTATCATGTGAGTACTTCCCCAAAAACACACAGTGATTTCAATTTGAACAATTGAGCTCAATTTTGAGAAAATTGAAAATCGATCAATTAATGAACAATAATGAACTCAAATTTTGCACGTCTTTTCAAAAATTGCTTCTTTTTTTGTGTTTGTGTTTTACTATTAAAGTTCAATGATTTTTAGTAAAATTGTCTCAAGATCTAACAAGGAAGAGCCTTTTTCAGACCATAGTATTCAGCAAGGATTCACTTTCACTCAATAGTGTATATAAAAGCAAACGATTCAAATTCTCTGCTTGATCAACATTCAGGAAAGAGCCGAAATGTCGTCTTATCTTTAAAAGGCCGAATAATAACTCCAAAAGCTGGCACGGGGGTGGGGGGGGGGGGGTGTGGAGGTGGGGAATGCGACTGCTTGATCAGCATTTGGAAGGACCGTCTTATCTGAGCGTACAAAGACTCCAAAATCTGGTATTATTACTGGTCTGTTAAAAACTTTCCGACGCTATCATTCAAAAATTGGGGACTGAAATCCATAAAGGAAAGCTTTCGCTGTGTTTATTTTGAAATAAAGCTTATAGATCTATCAGATTAGTCATGGTATGAAATTCTTAAAGTGCTCTTTTTATTATCTCAACTCACCAGTCAAAAAGCAAATATAAGCGCACGGCTCTTGAAAAATACATTCGAAAGCTCACTTGATAAGATTTGTTGACTTGCAAGTGATTTTTAGGAAGATTTCCCACCAATATCCCCTATTTACTTCCTATTTTTGATCAAATCTTTATCCTAAACTGATTAAGATAAATTTTTTTCCAGTTTACAATTTGTCAATCATTTCTCCAGCTATCACCAATCAGTTTTACAATATTTTGAAGTGAATAGCATGATTTAAATTTGACTAGTTACGAGAATCAAAGTGAATAACAAAATTCACTAAGAAAAAGCCAGTATAACTTTTTGTATGACTCAAGAACGGCTCATTGCTCAAAACACCCTAAAACATAATATTGTCATAAGTAATTTTACTGTAAAAGCCATTTTTTTATTCTAAATTGCTTAGTATCATTAAAATATGACGACTTGATAATAAACTTTATCTCTCTTTTTTTCTGACTAGCCTAGATCCCCGACATCCTGGCGCCAGCCAGCCCCTAAAAATTCCTAATCTGATTAGTTCTCTGGTATTTTTTATCGGGTAGTTTTTATTGCACCAAACTTTGCGTCTTTTCTGTCTCTTCTTTTCCGTGGCTCCCTTCTAGCCCACTGCTATTTTTTCCTTTATTTCAAAGGAGGGACTTATAAAAATCGCCATAATTGTTAGAATTTTGCTAAATTTTTGTCCTCTCTCGGAAAGTCGAGTTGTTCATTGGGTTGAGTAAGAATATTGTCATTGTTTTTATTTTGTTTTATTTATTTGTACTGAATCAATGCATTTTTTTAAAAACATGCTCTCTCGAATAAAATGCGTGTTTTTAGGTAACAAACCAATAACACGGAGATTCTTTCTCATCCATTCACAATCGAAAATTGATAAACGAAAGAACGAAAGATTCACGAATAATTTAACTGAAAAGGAAATGGCTGATGGATCTCTATTTATTAATCGAAAATGAGCTCTCAATATTCTCTGTGAGTTGCTCAAACTTTGTCAAAGCTTTAATATAACGAACCTGTTTACGAGGGCTTTTGAGAATGTAAAGAATCAGAATGTAAACGAACCATAAGAGCTTTTGAGAATGTAAAGCACAATGTTTATAACGAAAAAAGTTCTTGTACTCGTGCGGTTCATTGTCTTCAAGTTTGACTGTAGTATTAGAGTCGGGTAGTACATAGAAACATAGAGGTCTGTAGCCAGGATTTTGGCGTTTTTGGGTAAAATCTCACATGGGTAAAATCTTAATTCAACAATATGAAATTGTTGAATCGAGACTGAATAATGAATTTCAGATATTTCTCCAATAGAAACTGTGAAACTTGCGAATTGTTAAAGAAAGCTTCTCCAACAAGCGAATTGCTAGAGTCAGCTTCTCCAACAAGCACCCACTTGCCGGGTCGGCTGTAAAACTTGCAAAGGTGGGTTGGCATCATAAAAAAGTGCTTCATTGGGCTTGCTTCCTTTTTGATCAGTTCAAAATCATCAGTCGAGTACCTCTTTCATGGAGCCATTCTACAGGCGAAACGTAACGTTTTGAAACAGTCGAAATACAAGAATCAAGTTATCGGAGAGCTCCAGATGAATACAAAGAACACAAGAAATCATTTATTCTTTCAATGGCAGTAGTTGAAAAAAAAGAAAACGTCAATCAAGCTAACCGTCAGGTTAAACTCCTGGATGGGTTGTTCGGGCTCAAGTCCGGAGAAAATCGAATGTCCTTCGTTTCCATCTTCTCCATTCAACAACCATTCTAAAAGAAGAAACAATCCGGGAAGGATCCGAGAACCCGATGAATACGAGAACGCACAATAAATCATTTATTTCTTCAATGGCAGTATTTGAAAGTGAAAGTTTGAAGTAAATGGTAAAATAAACAAAGAGAAATACTGTATTACTTATGGGAGTCATCGGGAAAAAAGTCTGAGATTCTGAAAATAAATAAATAGAGAAATATCTTAGATCTTAATTATCCTAAATAGATAATGAAAGAGGGGATAAAAGTAGATGGTGAGTCTAAAGGTTGTTGCCGAGATTTTCGGGAACGATCTTCTCAAAATCGAAACTTGCATCCGGAAGGATATCAAGAGGATCCACAAGCTGCACGGGTCCACCTAAATAGCTCTAGTTTATCCCCTTTTTTATCTTATTTTTCAATTCAAAAAAACACAAAAATCTATATGTTTATGAAATATTGACCGGATAAAAACTCACTTTCCATTTCTGCGGGTGGAATTTGGATATTCCAATCTGATTCCGGAATGTGATCCTAAATTTGGACACCGTTTAACAAGAAAATGATCAAAATATCTGCATTCCTTAAGTAAAACTTTTAAAATAGTATATGTACATAGAAGCTACTATATGTAAAAGAGAAATGTCGATCCTTCCGCCTTTCCGTCACACTCTGGATCTCGGCTCCCCGTAAACCGATTTCGACAAACTTAGGCGGGTTAGGTTCGGCGGGTTTCTCGGCTGGTATGTAAATATATGTCGTAGCCGTTTAATGAGGATATTTCCGGGCATCTAATCAAAACTGTCCATAATACATATATTTTATGATAAATTTTTTGAAATTAGCTCATTTAGTTCGGTAGAAATTTTCTTTTTGAGTCCCCAAAGTTTAGGGTCAAAAAAAAGCCTTAAAATAACTAGAAAAAAATTTCTACTCAGCCAAAAAACTTGACTAATAGCTTATTTTCTAGCAAATTTGATGTAGATTCTTAAAGTGAAGCCGTCGCAAACAATCGTTCGTTGAAAGTAGGAGAAAGAGGGCGAGGAACAATTTCAGGGCAATTCCCAAATGTGAAAACAGCGACCGTGTTCAGCTGAAGTCGTTCCTCGCCCTCTTTCTCCTAGTTTTAAGAAACAAATGTCCAATACAGCGTTATTTTAAGAATCTGCATGTTAAGCCCTATCGATATCTAAGGATTAAAGCTTTCCTAGTTCTTCTAAGGCTTACTTGTAAAGGCAGAAAAACGACAGCGCTTGTATGATCGATGGCCAAGAATCGTTCAAGATCGCCAATGAATTCCTAAGTTTAAGATAGTGTAAAATTGAAAGAATTTCAATATTTTAAACAGTGGAAAAGGCTAAATCTACAGGGTGCGGCTATAGTGTTGGGCCCTACAAAAGGATGATTTTCTCAAAAACCAAAAGAGTTGACAGTTTTTTCGTTTAGATATTCAAAATCTAGAGACATTTTTTCACTAAATTCATAAGTTTGTGTAAAAATCTAAACCTTCATTCGGTTCATATAAGACTTTAAACGTGATTGCTCAAAAAATGAAATTTGTGAAAAGTGCGCCCATTTTTGTTAGCCAAGATCAGCTCGCATTTGCAATAATGAAGCTCAAAAAGCATTACTTTATAGTCATTAATTCTAAAAACGTATTAATGCAGAAAAAGATTTTTTAGAAACTCCAAATTAAAATTTAACTATTTTTTAACATTGCATAGTATTTTTCTACGGTTAGGGTTGTCAAAATCATTAAAAACTTTTACCGTCCTTCTATTCTATGTAAAATTACGCGTCGATTTTATGAATAATTCTTATTTTTCAGCTTAGTTTAATCTATTGTCTTAAAAAGCCAAAAAGATGCATTAAGCGCAACACTAGAGATGCTGCACCCTGTATGTAGTTTCTAGAGGCCTACTCAAGAAAGAGTTTAGATCGAAAAACACTCACTTGTTCGAGGGCAGCATTGACCTCATTTTCCCCTGGGTTTCCATTTCCAAAGAGCTCCTCATCGACCTCTTGCATGTTCTAAAAAGCTCAATTGAGAATAGAGGCTTAATTATACTTGAATCATGTCGAATCCCAACGATGAACCAGAGTCAGACATCACTGAATACAAAGTTTTATGAGCAAAAATATGCAAATCTTGAGAGAAATAAGGTATCAAATACCATAGGGAAATGGAAAAACGTTTGTAAAAGATTTATTGAAAACAAAAATTAAACAATCTTCTACAACCCGATAAACCGATAAAAATGCAAATTCATCGCAGAAATCACAAGATCATCACTAGAGATCTTTCAAATTATTGTTCCCGTTGGAATCGTTCGTTGAGACCTGGCTTAGGGGATTTGTAGCTGTTTTCGAAGGGCTTTTCGCTCTGCTTGTCATCCTTTTTCTTGGCAATGTCCACCTCTTCACCCTAAAAATTGATCTAACCTTTTTTGAAATACTTTGAAATAAATTGATATCTTTTAGTAACTGCTCAACATCAACTGAGTGGATTGAATCGGGAATCCGCCAGAGAACGTTTCGATCTCCTTTTCCTTGGAGTTTTATTTAAGTTGGTTTTTATAGGATTTAGAATCAGATGTTCTGCATCGAATAATAGAAAATTCACTTAAATTTGCTAAACTAAATGTTTGATCTATTTGGATACCAATTATAACGCTTTTTGTTAATCGTTAGATGCTGCATAACTTTTAATTTTCTTCTGTCTAAAGCTCGCTGTATCTCATTTCACGGGGAATCCTTCTAATCTCTTGCAAAATACTCGTTGGTGAGCATCAGTCCTCACCAACTGCTCTGGCAATAAAATGATTACCAATAGGTCGAGAAAGAGATGACAACCCAACCCTTGAGAAATGGGGATGGGGGAAAAGGAAAGTGGAACGAAAATATATGGCTCACCGATCTCCGATACCCTCCCAACAGCTTTCAAAAAGCAAACCTTATTTTCCATCTATTTCACTTTAAACAAATCTTTGCTAAATTCTAATTTGTTAGCTCATTTTTATTCGTTATAATTCAATAAGACAATGTCAAATTGCGCAAAAATTCACCCCGTTAAACTTCGATAGTGATCGGGTTTGCTAGGGTCTCTTCAAGAGATGACTAACGTTTGTTACTGTATACACATCCATAACCAGTTCAGTGGCTAATAAGAAACAGTTGTTATTATTGTTATTAGCACCAAGCTCGTATAGGTTGAGATTGTCGTTCTCCCAAAAGGAAAACAGGACCAATCCCTAGACAAGTAGCTAAACCGGAGTGTTCAAGCTACAATTTAAGTGAACTATTAGGATTGAAGAGAGCCTAGAGAGCTAAACAAGAAAAATTGAGAATTTTTTAGGTGTTGAGGCAAGTCAAAGCTTGTTTTTATGCGGCTTGACGTCAACTAAAGTTGAAAGATCACGAAGCTATGGTTTGTGTTAATGTTCAAAATTTGAAGCTAGAATCTAGAGCCCAAAGCTTTCTATTAAAATCTATTTAGTAACCTGTTCATCGTTGGTGACGGGACGGCGAATCGACTGAAGTGGAATTGTGGAGACAACTGGTTTACATGACTGTGGTTTTCTGCTGAAAGAAGTTGGATATTTGAAATTATATATATTGTCTAAGACTGAAACTATTTCTACTACACAAAAAACTGAGCTGAACAACTAACCGAAGTATTCACTTAGGTTATACATATAAGTAACTGAAGCATTTACAGGGTGACTTAGAAAACAGTCCTCATCACGATCCCCAATGAAAGTCTAGAATTTGTTTTAGGTTTTAAATAACTTGAATTGGATGAATTCAGACATTTTCCCTAATAAAATCTGTAACACCTTTTGTGGTTACCGTATTTTCTCTAATAGTGGTGCACCACCAGCGAGCCGAGTTGATGACTATTTTACGGTTTCGAAGCTTTTGCAGAAGCTCAACACTCAAATCCCCCACTAGATCTCGTCGTCAGCTACATTTTCCGACCCCACATCGATAGGTTCTGATAAGCGGTTCTCGAGATTTCGAGCAATTTAGGCGACGCTCAGGGTGCGCTACTATTAGGCAAAATACGATAATCTTTTAGCTATAAAAACTATTAAAGAATTGTTAGAGATAAAGTTGTTACTCCCTCCCCTCCACAAGCACCCACTTGCTCCATTTCAGCTAAGTTAACGTCAATCAAGCTAACCGTCAGGTTAAACTACTGGATGGGTCATTCGGGCTCCGGAGAAAATAGAATGTCCGGAGAAAATAGAATGTCCTTCATTTCCATCTTCTCCATTCAACAACCATTCTAAAAGAAGAAACAGAAAGCTTGAAAACAAATGAAAGATACTGTACAGTGTGTACAAAGAAATAAGTTATCGGGGAAAATCCGAGAACCCGATGAATACGAGAATAGCATACAATAAATCCTTTATTTTTTCAATGGCAGTATTTAAAAGTGAAAGTTTGAAGTAAATGGTAAAATAAACAAAGAGAAATACTGTATTACTTATGGGAGTCATCGGGAAAAAAAGTCTGAGATTCTGAAAATCAATAAATAGAGAAATATCTTAATGAAAGAGGGGAATAAAAGTAGTCTAAAGCCTGTTGCCGAGATTTTCGGGAACGATCTTCTCAAAATCGAAGCTTACTTCGGGAGGATCAAGAGAATCCACAGGCTGCACGGGTCCACCTAAATAGCTCTAGTTTATCCCCTTTTTATCTTATTTTTCAATTAAAAAAAGACAAAAATCTATATGTTTATGGAATATTGACCGGATAAAAACTCACTTTCCATTTCTGCGGGTGGAATTTGGATATCCCAATCTGATTCCGGAATGTGATCCTAAATTTGGGCACCGTTTAACAAGAAAATGATCAAAATATCTGCATTCCTTAAGTAAAACTTGTAAAATAGTATATGTATATAGAATTTAGAAGAGAAGTGTCGATCCTTCCGTCTTTCCGTCACACTCTGGATCTCGGCTTCCCGTAAACTGATTTCGACAAACTTAGGTGGGTTAGATTAGGAGGGTTTCTCGCTGATATGTAAATATTTATCGTAACCGTTTACGAATGAGGATATTTCCGGGCATCCAATCAAAAAGTCCAATCAAAAATGTTCAGAATACTTATATTTAATGATGAATTTTTGAAATTAGCTCATTTAGTTCAGTAAAAAAAATTTTTTGAGCCCGCAAAGTTTAGCGTCAAAAAGTGCCTTAAAATGACTAGAAAAAATTTTCTACCCAGCCAAAAAACTTGACTAATAGATTTTGTAGCCAATTCGATGTAGATTCTTAAAGTAAAGCCATCGCAAACAATCGTTCGTTGAAAGTAGGAGAAAGAGGGCGAGAAACAATTTCAGGGCAATTCCCAAACGTCAAAACAGCGACCGAGCTCAATTGAAGTCGTTCCTCGCCCTTTTTCTCCTAGTTTTATATAACAAATGTCCAATGTAGCGTTATTTTGAGAATCTGCATGTTAAGCCCTATCGATATCTAAGGATTAAAGCTTTCCTAGTTCTTCTAAGGCTTACTTGTAAAGGCAGAAAAACGACAACGCTTGGATGATCGGTGGCCAAGGAACGTTTAAGATCGTCAATGAATTTCTAAGCTTACGATAGTGAAAATTCAAAAGAATTTTAATATTTTAAACAGTGGATCAGGCTCAATCTACAGAGTGCGGCTATAGTGTTGCGCTCTACAAAAGGAAGTTTGTGTAAAAATCTAAAGCTTCATTCGGTTCATATAAGACTTTAAACGTGATTGCTCAAAAAATGAAATTTGTCAAAAATATTTTCAGCTTAGTTTAATGTATTGTCTTAGAAAGCCAAAAAGATGCATTAAGCCCAACACTAGAGATGCTGCACAGTGTATGTAGTTGCCAGAGGCCTACTCAAGAAACAGTTTAGATTGAGAAACACTCACTTGTTCCAGCTCAGCATTGACCTCATTTTCCGCTGGGTTTCCATTTCCAAAGAGCTCCTCATCGACCTCTTGCATGTCCTAAAAAGCTCAATTGAGAAGAGAGGCTTAATTATACTTGAATCATGAATCCAAACGATGAACGAGAGTCAGACATCACTGAATACAAAGTTTTATGAGCAAAAATATGCAAACCTTGAGAGAAATAAGGTATCAAATACCATAGGGAAATGGAAAAACGTTTGTAAAAGATTTATTGAAAACAAGAATTAAACAACCTTCATCAACAATAACCCGATAAAAATGCAAATTCATCACAGAAATGAAGACTAAAGATCATTTAAATTAGTGTCCCCGGTTGGAATAGTTCGCTGAGACCTGGCTTGGGGGATTTGTAGCTGTTTTCAAAGAAAATCTTTTATTTCAGCTAAAAGTTAGATATTAGATATCTAAGTTGCACAAGTGAATTCATAAAGCTCAGATTAATTTTGAAAAAAATCAAGTTGCAGCACTAGCCTGTACGGGAAGTTGACGAATGACTGACTGCCACTTTACTGGAAGACCAGGGACCAATTCGGCGCACACATATTCTTGAGCAAATTCGGGCCACACGTATTGTTGAGAACATTCTCCCAACAATGGAGGCGTCTAGAGATGTTTGTTTTGCAAAACATTCAAGTTTAGTGATACTATCGTATATGTAAAATAGAAATTTTAGTTAGACTTACCACGTGCGTTGTTGGAGATTCAATGTAGAGCCTCTAGTGCATCCCCATCACTATTTCTTGTTGTTGTTGTAGCCGCAGCTGAAAATCGAGGTGAGACTTTCTTTGATTACCGAGGATTTTTAATGTTTTACTCTAAGCTTTCTTAATTTTTCTGTGAAATTTTGTATTTATTAGTTCAAGCTACAATTTAAGTGAACTATTAGGATTGAAGAGAGCCTAAAGAGCTAAACAAGGAAAATAGAGAATTTTTTAGGTGTTGAGGCTAGTCAGAGCTTGTTTTTATGCGGCTTGACGTCAACTAAAGTTGAAAGATCACGAAGCTATGGTTTGTGTTAGTGTTCAAAATTTGAAGCTAGAATCTAGAGCCCAAAGCTTTCTATTAAAATCTATTTAGTAACCTGTTCATCGTTGGTGACGGGACGGCGAATCGACTGAAGTGGAATTGTGGAGACAACTGGTTTACATGACTGTGGTTTTCTGCTGAAAGAAGTTGGATATTTGAGATTATATATATTACTGAGAACTGAACTATTTCTACTACACACAAACTGAGCTGAACAGCTAACCGAAGTATTTACTTAGGCTATATAATTAACTGAAGCATTTACGGGGTGGACCAAAATTATAGCAACTCGGTATTTTCTGGAATTAGCCAGCCGCAATTTAAAGCGATCGAAAATAGAAATGAAATTGATCAAAGCTGCAAAAGGAAAGAGCTTCTAATATATTAGGTTGTTCGGATGTAAACAAGCGTTACTAAAATTATTGTTGTGAGAGAAGCTTTTAAAACAATTCTTTCTATTTAAAAATACGTTATCTTGTGTATATTTGGAATCTTCTTAAACGGATGATTTCTTATTTTTAAAATCTTTTTTCTTGCTTTAGATGACCGACTTCAAATAAATAAAGTTCGCATCTGCCTACTTTACGATTTCAAACTGGGCAAAACAGTCGCGGAATCCCATCGAGATTTGGTTAAAGCATTTGGGAATGATGTATTGTCCGAAAGCCGATGTTGAGCCTGGTTCCAACGGTTTTGGAATGGTGATGAAAGTCTCCAGGATCATGAACACTCTGGTCGACCTCAAGCGGTAGAAAACGATACTTTGAGGGCTGCAATCGAATCGGATCCATGTCAAACGACGCGTGAATTTGCTCAACAGTTTCTATGTTCAAATTCTACCATTGATGAGCATCTCCACGCCATTGGAAAGACGATCAGATACGGGAAATGGCTTCCTCACGAGTTAAGCAGTGCAAAAAAGGCTTCATGGGTTGCCATTGCTGGAATCCTCATCCGCCACGCTTTTTGATTCTCTCGCTACTGGAGATGAGAAGTGGATCCATTTCGATAATACTATTCGAAAACAGCAATGGCTAGAACCAGGAGAGCGGCCAAATCCGACCGTGAAACCGGACATTCATGGGAAAAAGGTCATGCTTTCAGTATGGTGGAATAACAAGGTCCTTGTGTATTTCGAGCTTCTACAACCCGGCCAAACAGTCACATCAGACGTCTACAAACAGCAACTTGATCGGGTCAATGAAGCTGTCATTCGTCAAGAAGTAGACACATCAAAGATAAGGTTCATCTATGATAGCGCTAGACCTCACGTTGCAAAGGTGACTCAGCAGAAACTGGAGAATCTAGGATGGGAGCTTCTACCACATCCGCCGTATTCTCCCGATTTGGCTCCCTCAAATTACCGTTTATTTCGGTCGATTCAAAACTTTTTGACCAATGAGAAATTCAAAACCCGTGAAGATCTCCAAAATTGGATCGCCAAGTTTTTCGCGTCACAACCGGCTGAATTTTTCAAGAGTGGCATCAATTCTTTGCGCAAAAGATGGCAAGAAGTAATCAATAATAATGGTAAATATATTTTGGATTAAAATGTGTTGTTTCTGTTTTTAAGATAATCTTTGTCGACTACTAAAACGCTCGTTTATATCCGAACAACCTAATAGCCGTCTTGGAAGCTATAAAAAAGATTTGTTTTGATAAAAATACTCGTAGAAATGTAGAGTGTTAAAAATCTCAATTACTAATATAATTGAAAACTTAAACGTAAACTTTACAGGTAGCTGACCCACCGAACCAACTTAACGAGCTTGCCTAAGATACTTTGCTCGCTTTTCGGAGCCTTCTTCTTACTTGACGCTTCAGGTGTGCTCATTTTCGAACTGAAATTAAAGCTGGCTTTTTATTCCTAAAAAGAAAAGTGAAAAGTTAATGCTTTTAGGTTAAACGGTACTAAAGATGAAAGAGAAATCGATCGAGGAACGTGAAAGAGGAGAGCGAAAGAGATGAATCGATCGAAAGAGATGTTCAACGATTTGCACTCCAAAAAGTGACAGACAACAATGCAAGGTTTGTTTGCCAAAGTCTCCTAAATCTGTTAAACTTAGATTTTCTTCGGATCGAAGAAGAGGCGTCCACCTGTCTGTGTCATTGATAAAAAGGTGTGGCCAAACTCCCCTCAAATCGATCGAGGAACGTGAAAGAGGAGAGCGAAAGAGATGAATCGATCGAAAGAGATGTTCAACGATTCAACGGCACTTCAAAAAGTGACAGACAACAATGAAAGGTTAGTTTGCCAAAATCTCCTAAACGAAAACCAAAGATTTTCACAAGTTAGAACAAAAATTTTGAGAATTCGCATTACGCATGAACTTTCCAAAATTTGTTAGATGGTATTAGCTTGGCAAAATCAAAGTTTTTGCTATAATTTTTTGAGATCTGATTGCTTATGTTGGGTAAATTTTTAGACCAATCTATCAAGCCGTTTTCTCAAAATATTTTTTCAAAGATTTGTCAAAATATTGATTTTCAAAGACACTCACTCCCTCAGCTAGCCTTAGGCTGGCTGACATTTTAATGGCTTAGAAAGAAAGAGTATCAGGAAGAGTTTAAAGCCGCCATGAGTATGTGGTAGAGGAAAGAGGAAAATAGTTACAGTAAGTCAAGAGAGCGCGTATTGTGGTGTACTCTTGGCAGCTTTTCCCTAGACAAAATGAAGAGAAGAAAGAAATCAAATGAGAAGAGAGGGAAATCAAGAGAGGGAATCGAGAGAGAGGGGAAATCGAAAGAGATTTGCGAAATAGAATAGAATCTCGCCATGTAAATATTTTGTTTACTTTTTCAAACAATGCAACAATTTAGAAATATAAATTTAGGAAATATAAATTCAAAATCTTTTGTCAAAGATTTGTGAAAATATTGAATTTCAAGAAAATTCACTCCTTCAGCTAGCCTTAGGCTGGCTGACCTTTTAGTAGCTTAAATTCTCTCAAAATTTGAGTCAATCAACTCAGAAATATCATAAAGAGTTTAAACCCGCCATTAGTATGTGGTAGAGGAAAGGGGAAAATACTTGCCGTAAGTCAAGAGAGCGAGTATCGTCGTGTACTCTTGACAGCTTTTTCCCTAGGCAGAGAGAACAGAGAAAAAGATTCAAAGTGATCAGAGTTGAGGGGAAATCGAGAGAGATTTGACAAATGGAATAGAATGTCGCCATATAAATATTTTGTTTTCTTTTTTAAACAATGCAACAATTTGGAAATATAAATTTAGGAAACGGTTTATAGTTACAAAAAGCTTAGAGCGGCGCGCAGGAACAAAAAGTAAAGCTTTTCGAGCAGAGGGCCGGTAAACTTACATTTCTTACAATTCTACTACAAAAAAGTTCGAATTACATATAAAAACTTGCGTCAGTTCAATCGGATTTGGTATGAAAGCTTTTCTGGAAGGGACAGTACCTTTGACCAGGATTTATGAGTTGTCTAATCGGTATTGTTATTCATTGAGACTTCTTTTCTTCAGAAAAGAACAAATAGTAGGGAAAGAAAAGAGTGGAGGAAAATAAGAGTTTCTAGAAAAAAGGAGGGTTGAGTCAGCAAAGTGTTCGGAATTTTGGATCGCATTCGTAGAGTCTTCCGCTGGTCTACTATAAAGTAGAAGAGATCTCCACCTGTCTGTGCGATTAATAAAAAAACTTCTCTCTTCAGAAAAGAAGAGGTGGGACGGCAAGAAAAAAAATAGAATTGCGTGGAAAACGTGGACCTCCCCAGTGGAAAATGCGAACGTTAGTGAGTATCTGGTAATGGTAATGGTATATGGGTATATAATGGGTATAATGATCTTAAGTAGTAGGTAAGTAGTAAGTGATATTGAGTAGTAAGTGTAGTAAAATGGTATAAGGGTATATAATGAGTATAATGGTATTCAGTTATAAGGTGTAATGATTGAATACGGTTTATGAGTTAAAAAAGAAAGAGAGAGAAGCTAACCATTTTGCATAACATAAATCGAACCAAATCAAACTAAATCCAACTAAACAGAAGTATATAGGTTGATTTAAAACATAGATTTTGAAGGAGAAAAAGAGAGAAGCTAACCATTTTGCATAACATGAATTGGTTGATTTAAAACATAGATTTTGAAAATGAAATTCACTCTGGAACCGAGATTCCATCATTAGTTTAAGGCCTTCACAAAAGCTGTTAAGAAAGCTTTCGCTGTTAGCTGCTATGAAATCTAATTTCATTCCATTACATTTCTCATGAAAGAAGGTGGGTGTTGACCCACCGATCCATATTGAGATCATGTCACCCCCACCGCATCCCCAAACCCCTTTCCGGCCTTTCAGCTCATCATTCCCCCTTTTGCTTTTTCCTGGTTTTCCTTTTCCCCCCCCACTTTTTGGACATTCACCAATCAACATTCAAATGCTTCTTTCAAAAAAATTTCGAAATATCTGCAGCGAGAATCTCCCAAACGTTTTTCTCCGCACTTTACCCCAAATCTCTCGATGTGTAGACACTGAAGAAGCCTAGAAGTCTAGAAGATGACGCAAACTTAAAAATTGAAATCTTTCCCTAAATCCCCTGTTTCTTTTCCCATAAACCCAAAAACAGCTTTCTCCTTGCTGATATTTTAGTTATCAATTAGAAGGAATTTCCTGAAAATGATGTTTGAGGCATTTTTAGGAGCGAATTTCATGCTATCATATAAGTAAACTATTATAGATAAAAGATGACTGAACGGCTCTTTTATAATGTTCTTTCCCCAGAAAACCATGTTATCATAATTAAATTCCTGGCAAGAGTTTATCCTTGAATTAAAGACAAAAGCATGCTCGATTAGGGAGACGATCAAGGAGAACAAAAAAGAAAAAACATGAAATCCCCTTACGTTTTGTTTTCAATCGAATTTGTTTTCTTTTCTTTTTCAAAGCAATGATCGCTTCGTCATTTCCTTAGATCCCCTTGTGATTGGTTGTGCAGTATGAGAGAAATCGATATTCCTCTTGCCAGCTCCCTTCCTTAGTCCCCGAGAGCTCGAGAAAGAGAGAGCTCTAGTTTATCCCCTTTTTTATCTTATTTTTCAATTAAAAAAACACAAAAATCTATCTGTTTACGGAATATTGACCGGGTAAAAACTCATTTTCCATTTCTGCGGGCGGAATTTGGATATTCCAATCTGATTCCGGAATGTGATCCTAAATTTGGACACCGTTTAACAAGAAAATGATCAAAATATCTGAATTCCTGTAAAGCAAAACTTGTAAAATAGTGTATTTATATAGAGTCTACTGTATGTAAAAGAGAAGTGTCGATCCCTCCGTTTTCCGTCACACTCTAGATCTCGGCTCGGTCACCAACTCAGCTCGGTGGTGTGCACTACTATTAGAGAAAATACGGTAACCACAGAAGGTGTTACAGACTTTATTAGGGAAAATGTCTGTATTCATCCAATTCAAGTTATTTAAAAGCTAAAAGAAATTCTAGACCTAGTGGGGACCGTGATAAGGACTGTTTTCTAAGTTTTACTTAAATGGGGTCGATATGTTGACCATTTATTGATTCAAGTACAATAATTTGATGCCAAAATTCAGATTGTGTTTTCAAAGTCAGATGTGGCTGTTCAAGTGCCTTCGGCAAGAAGGGAATGTAAGTTTTTACCCGGTTAATATCTTGCATTCTTTTGTGTATAGAGATTTTGTGTTTTAAAGTAAATGGTAAAAAATAAGATTTGAATAAATACTGGGAAAAAGTGAATCTATTTAGGTGATCAAACCGAGCCTGTGGATCCTCTTGATCTTCCAGATGTAAATTTCGGTTTTGCGGAGATCGTTGCCGAAAATCTCGGAAATAGGATTTAGAAGCTTTTCGTTTGATGCTTCATTGAGTTATTTTTTATCTATTAGTTGATTTTGATAAATTCTCACATTCCCGATGATTTCCTTATCCCGTAAATGTATTTCTGTTTACTTTTGGATTTAACTATCCCAATGTTTTCTTTTTTTTTAACTACTGCCATTGAAAGAATAAATGATTTCTTGTGTGCTATTTTTGTATTCATCGGGAGCTCTCCGATAAATTCTTTTCTATGTATTTCGTTCGTTTCAAAGATTTACGTTTCGCCTGTAGAAAGTACTCGACTGATGGATCCATGAAAGAAGTACTCGACTGATGATTTTGAGCTGATCAGAAACGAAGCAAGCCCAATGAAGCACTTTTTGATGATGCCGACCCACCTTTGCCGATTCAGCAAGTGGCCCATCCAGCAATGCAAGTGGGTTGGAGAAGCTAACTTTAACAATTCGCAAGTTTCACAGCTTTTATTGGAGAAATATCCTACTATCCTCAAATTCAAACTAACCATTCTTTATTGAATATAATGTTGGTGTTGAGTAATGTCCGTGCGTCTTTCCGTCACACTCTGTATCTCCGCTCCCCGTAAACCGATTTCGACAAACTTAGGCGGGTTAGGTTAGGCGCGTTTCATAAGCCTGTTGATGTTGAGTAGAGAGGAAAGTTTGTGAACGAGAATTTTTGAGGGTAGGCAGCGGGTTGGTAGTACGCGATTTTATTGCCGAAAAGTTAAAGACCAAAAGAGTTGATATTTTAATGTATTGTCTTAGAAAGCCAAAAAGATGCATTAAGCGGAACACTAGATATGCTGAACCCTGTATGTAGTTGCCAAGGCATACTCAAGTACTCTAAGTTCACGATAGTGTTAAATCGAAAGAATTTTAATATTTCAAACAGTCGATCAGGCTAATTATACAGAGTGCGGCTTTAGTGTTGCGCTCTACAAAAGGATGATTTTCTCAAAAACCAAAAGAGTTGAACGTTTTTTCGCTTAGGTATTTCAAATCGACAGACATCTTTCCACTAAATTCATAAGTTTGTGTAAAAATTTAAAGCTTTATTCGTTTTATATAAGACTTTAAACGTTGTTGTTTTTCAGCTTAGCTTAATGTATCGTCTTAGAAAGCCAAAAATTAAGCGCAACACTAGATATGCTGCACCCTGTATGTCGTTGCCAAGGCGTACTCAAGAAACAGTTTAGATTGAGAAACACTCACTTGTTCGAGGGCAGCATTGACCTCATTTTCCGCTGGGTTTCCATTTCCAAAGAGCTCCTCATCGACCTCTTGCATGTCCTAAAAAGCTCAATTGAGAAGAGAGGCTTAATTATACTTGAATCATGTCGAATCCCAACGATGAACCAGAGTCAGACATCACTAAGTACAAAGTTTCATAAGCAAAAATATGCAAATCTAGAGAAATAAGGTATTAAATACCATAAGGAAATGGAAAAACGTCCGAAACAAATTTATTTGAAGATATAAAAGCAGTAACCCGATAAAAAGGCAAGTTTATCACAGAAATGAAGACTAGAGATCTTTTAAATTAGTGTTCCCGTTGGAATAGTTCGCTGAGATCTGGCTTTGGAGATTTGTAGCTGGCAATGTCCACCGCTTCACCCTAAAATTTGATATAACATTTTTTGAAATACTTTCCTTTTAAATTGATACTTTTAGCAACTGCTCAACATCAACTAAGTGGATGGAATCGGGAACCAGAGAACGTTTCGATAACGCCCTTGAAACCTTCTCCTTGGGGTTTTATTTAAGTTGGTTTTTATAGGATTTAGAACCAGATGTTCTGCATCGAATAGTAGAAAATTCATTAAATTTGCTAAACTAAATGTTTGATCTATTTGAATACCAATTAGAAAGTTTTTTGTTAATCGTGAGATGCTGCCCTCCCAACAGCTTTCAAAAAGCAAACCTTATTTTTCATCTATTTCACTTTAAACAAATCTTTGCTAGATCCTACTTTGCTAGCTCATTTTTATTCTTTATAATTCAATAAGACAATGTCAAATTGCGCAAAAATTCACCCCGTTAAACTTCGATAGTGAATGGGTTTGCTAGGGTTTCTTCAAGAGATGACTGACGCTTGTTACTGTATATGTTACGTTCGATCCAGTCTCATTCTGGATATTAGGCTCTCAGTTGCGCTATTGAATTCATAAAGCTCAGATTAATTTTGAAAAAAATCAAGTTTCAGGACTCACCTGTACGGGAAGTGGACGAATGACTGACTGCCACTTCACCGGCACACCAGGAGCCAATTCGGGCCACACGTCCTGTTGAGCAGATTCTTGCAACAATGGAGGCGCCTAGAAATGTTTGTTTTGCAAAAGATTCAACTTTAGTGATACTATCGTGTATCTAAAATAGAATTTTAGTTAGACTCACCACGTACATTGTTGCAGATTCAATGAAGAGCCTCTGTTGCATTCCCATCACCATTTCTTGTTGTTGTTGTTGCAGCTGAAAATCGAGGTGAGACCGAGGATTTTTAGTGTTTTACTCTAAGCTTTCTTAATTTTTGTTTGAAATTTTGTATTGATTAGTTCAGGCTACAATTTAAGTGAACTATACGGATTGAAGAAGGCCTAAAGAGCCAAACAACGGAAATTGAGAATTTTTTAGGTGTTGAGACAAGGCAGAGCTTGTTTTTATGCGGCGTGTCGTCAATTAAAGTTGAAAGATGTCAAAGCTATGGTTTGTGTTAATGCTTAAAATCTGAATCTAGAATCTAGAGCCCAAAGCTCTCTATCAAAATCTATTCAGTAACCTGGTTATCTTTGGTGACGGTCGACTGAAGTGGAAACATGGATAGAACTGGTTTACGTGACTGTCGTTTTTTGCTGAAAGAAGTTGGATATTTGAAATTATCTAAATTGTTTAAGACTGAAACTATTCCTACTACACACAAACTGAGCTGAACAACCCCGTACTTACTTGGGTTCAACACTTAAATTTCTTGCTTGGGTTCAACACTTTATATTTCTACTATAAAGCTTGAAAGTTATAAAGCTTTGCTATAAAGCTTGCTATAAAAAAGCCGATTTGATTATACTCGTGGAAAGGTAGAGCTTTGAAAAAATTGTTTTAATCTCAATTACTAATATAATTGAAGACTTAAATGTAAACTTTACAGATAGTTGACCCACCGAAACAACAAACAGCAACCGAAACAACGACTGATGAGCTTGCCGATGACGCCTTGCTCGTTTTTCGGAGGCTTCTTCTTACGTGATGCTTCAGGTGTGATCATTTCCAAACTGAAATGAAATCTGGCTTTTTGTTCTTAAAAAAGAGAAGCGAAAAGTTAAGGCTTTTAGGCGAATGGTGCTAAAGATGAAAGAGGAATCGATCGAGGAACGTGAAAGAAGAGAAAGAGAGAGAATCGATCGAAAGAAATGTTCAACGATTCAACGGCACTTCAAAAAGTGACATACAACAATGCAAGGTTAGTTTGCCAAAATCTCATAAATTTATTAACGAAAACCAAGGATTTTCACAGGTTAGAACAAAAATTTTGAAAATTTGCATTGCGTTTGGCCTTTCCAAGATTTGTTAGATCGTATTAGCTTGGCAAAATTAAAGTTATTGCTATAATTTTTTGAGTTTTGATTGCTTATGTTGGGTAAATTTTTTGATTAATCTATCAAGCCGTTTTCTCGAAATATTCTCTCAAAGATTTGTCAAAATATTGACTATCAAGGATCGATCGAGGAACGTGAAAGAAGAGAAAGAAAGAGATGAATCGATCGAAGCTAGCCTTAGGCTGGCTGACTATTTAGCAGCTCAAATTCTGTCAAAATTTGAGTCAAGCACCTCAGAAATATCAGAAAGAGTATTGTCGTGTACTCTTGACAGCTTTTCCCTAGGCAGAGTGAAGAGATTAAAAAGATTCAAAATGATAAGAGTTGAGGGGGAATCGAGAGAGATTTGACAAATGGAATAGAGAAATCGAATAGAGAAATCGAGAGAGAAATCGAATAGAATGTCGCCATGTAAATATTTCGTTTTCTTTTTCAAAAAAATGCAACAATTTGAAAATATAAATCTAGGAAACGATTTATAGTTACAAAATGCTTAGAGGGGCGCGCAGGAACAAAAAGTAAAGCTTTGCCGGTAAACTTACACTTCTTACACTTACATTTCTTACAATCCCATTACAAACAAGTTCGAATTTACATATAAAATGGAGGGAAATGAAAATGAAGGGACTATTCCATCACTAATTGAAGGGCTTCACGAAAGCTGTTATGAGATCTTTCGATCATTTCATTCCATTACATTTCTCAAGCGAGAAGTTTCTAAATTTTTAATTTTAAAAGCTAACTTTCTCAAATATTGAAAAAGATATTAATAAATCAGTCAAAAAAAAACGTTAACGAAAACCGAATTCGTATAAGTAAACTATTATAGATAAATGATGATTGAACAGCTGTTTTCTACTGTTTTTCCCTGAGGAAACCACGCCCACTTTTTGGACATTCACCAATCAACATTCAGATGTTTCTTTCAAGAAATTTAGAAATATCAGCGAGAATCTCCCAAAAGTTTTTCTCCGCACTTCACCCCAAATTTCTCGATGTGTAGTCTAGAAGTCTAGAAGTCTAGAAGTCTAGAAGTCTAGAAGTCTAGAAGTCTAGAAGTCTAGAAGTCTAGAAGTCTAGAAGTCTAGAAGTCTAGAAGTCTAGAAGATAACGCAAACTTCAAGAAATCAAATCAATCCATCCTAGAGCATAGAAAATACATTTTTCTAAATTAAATTTCGTTTTAAAAAAATAAATTGAGGATTTTAAGTGATTTTTCTCTTTTCTTTTTCTAAAATTAGATTGATCTAACATCCATGATTATTTAAATTAACTAGCTTTGATGAAATAACTTAAAGATCTAGTCTTTATGTTCATTTTCTCAAATATTTAAAAAGATATTAATAAATGAGTCAAAAAAAAAACCTTAACGAAAACCGGATTCGTATAAGTAAAGTATTATAGAAAAATGATGAGTGAACAGCTCTTTTGTAATGTCCTTCTCCGAGAAAACCACGCCCACCTTTTCCACATCCACCAATCAACATCCAAATATTTCTTTCAAAAATTAGGGCTCGATTAGGGAGACGACCAAGGAGAACAAAACAGAAAAAAAAGCAAAGCTTTTTCAAAGCAAAGATCGCTTTGTCATTTTCTTAGATCCCCTTGTGATTGGTTTTGGGCAGTATGAGAGGGGTTGATATTCGTGCCCGTCAGCTCGAGAGAGAGAGAGAGAGGGAGAGAGATGGGGTATGCTATCCCCCGCCCCTTCGCTCACCTCTTCTTCTTCCCTTTGCCGGCCTTTCTTGGCAAAAAATTCTGGAGGAGGCTCGAAAATGTAGTTTGTCGAAACTTCTTTGTTACAGCTAGAGAGACAGGCTAACTAGGGAAGAGTACAGAGTCGAACTTCGATATAACGAACCTCAAGCGTTCGGCCAAAAAGTTCGTTATAAGTGCTCGTTGTATTAAAGATCATTTTAAGGTAAAACCCTTCGTTGGGACCAAAAAATAGAAGGCGGAGCCAAGGACTAGGGGAAAAGTGCCCGTAATTCTTGAACACCGCGGTGAACAAGTGAGTGTTTCGCACACTACACGGTGCGCCGTGTAGATTGAGAAACACTCACTTGTTCGAGGGCAGCATTGGCCTCAGTTTCCGCTGGGTTTCCATTTCCAAAGAGCTCCTCATCGACCTCTTGCATGTTCTAAAAAGCTCAATTGAGAAGAGAGGCTTTATTATACTTGAATCATGTCGAATCCCAACGATGAACCAGAGTCAGACATCACTGAGTACAAAGTTTCATAAGCAAAAATATGCAAATCTTGAGAGAAATAAGGTATCAAATACCATAGGGAAATGGAAAAACGTCCGCAAAAGATTTATTGAAAACAAGAATTAAACAACCTTCATCAACAATAACCCGATAAAAATGCAAATTCATCACAGAAATGAAGACTAGAGATCTTTTAAATTAGTGTTCCCGTTGGAATAGTTCGCTGAGATCTGGCTTAGGAGATTTGTAAATATTTTCGAAGGGGTTCTCGCTCTGCTTGTCATCCTTTTCCTTGATGTCCACCCCTTCACCCTAAAAATTTATGTAAAATTTTTTAAATACTTCTCTTTTCAATTCTTGTTTCTAATAAACGCTTGTTACTGTATATGTTACGTCCGATCTAGACTCAGTCTGGATGAAGTTAGATATTAGACATCTAAGTTGCACTAGTGAATTCATAAAGCTCAGATTAATTTTGGAAAAAATCAAATTTCAGGAATCACCTGTACGAGAAGTTGATCAATGATTGACTTCCACTTCATTGAAACACCAGGGGGCAATTCGGGCCACACGTATTGTTGAGGAAATTCTCCCAATAATGGAGGCGCCTAGAAATGTCTGTTTTGCAAAAGATTCAATTTTAGTGATACTATCGTATATGTTAAATCGAAATTTTATTTAGATTCACCACGTGCATCGCTGGAGTTTCAAGGAAGAGCCTCCATTATTGAAAAGATTTATTGAAAACAAAAATTAAACAACCTTCATCAACAATAACCCGATAAAAATGCAAATTTCTCACAGAAATGAAGACTAGAGATCATTTAAATTAGTGTTCCCGTTGGAATAGTTCGCTGAGATCTGGCTTAGGAGATTTGTAGCTGTTTTCGAAGGGCTTCTCGCCCTGCTTGTCATCCTTTTCCTTGATGTCCACCCCTTCACCCTAAAAATTGATATAAAATCTTTAAATATTTGAAATACTTCTCTTTTCAATTCATGTTTTTAATAATTGCTCAATATCAACTGAGTGGATGGAATCGGGAGTGCGCCAGAGAACGTTTCGATAACGCGCTTATTTAAGTTGGCTTTTATAGGATTTGGGACTAGATGTTCTGCATCGAATAATAGAAAATGCACTTAGAAAATGAAAATAGAAAATGCACTTAAATTTGCTAAACTAAACGTATGATCTACTTGATCTAATACAGATGATCTAATGCCTTTGATCCAATACCAATTATTTGTTAAGGGTTAGATGCTGCATAAGTTTCAATTCTCTTCTGCCTAAAGCTATCGTTGGTTTCTATTTCATTCCGCCGGGCTTTAAACCTTGAAAATCTTTAAGAGTCTATAAAATATCTTGCAAAATACTCGTGAGAAGTCCTCACCAACTAAAAGTAAACCCTACAGGCCACGGTAAAAGTTCTGTTCTTTTTAAAATTCTCTTTAATTGAATTCTCCCTAATGGTCATGATTTCATAAGTGTTGATAGCCAAAAGATAGCAAATATTTCACAGAATTTAAATCTTACTACCGTTTTTAAATACATGATGCCACATGCATGGCCAGTTCAAGGAGTAATAAGACAACTAACTTGCACTAGTGAATTCATAAAGCTCAGATTAATTTTGAAAAAAATCAAGTTTCAGGACTCACCTGTACGGGAAGTTGACGAATGATTGACTGCCAGGTTACTGGAGCACCAGGAGCCAATTCGGGGCATACGTATTGTTGAGCAAATTCTCCCAACAATGGAGGCGCCTAGAAATGTTTGTTTTGCAAAATATTCAAGTTTAGTGAGACTATCGTGTATCTAAAATAGAATTTTAGTTAGACTCACCACGTGCGTTGTTGGACATTCAATAAAGAGCATCTGTTGCATCCCCATCACCATTTCTTGTTG